GCCTCGGCCTCCCGAGTAGCTGGGATTACAGGCACACACCACCAAGCCTGGCTAATTTTTGTATTTTTAGTAGTGACGGGGTTTTACCATGTTGGCCAGGCTGGTCTCGAACTCCTGCCCTCAAGTGATCTGCCCACCTCAGCCTCCCAAAGTGCTGGGATTACAGATAATTGAGATTATGTTCCCATAATCTCAGGGCCACTACACCCGGCCAGTATTGTTGTTTTGAGACAGGGTCTCAACCTGTCACCTAGGCTGGAGTGCAGTGGCACAATTGTGGCTCACTGTGACTTCCACCTTCCAGGCTCAAGTGATCCTCCCACTTCAGCCTCCTGAGTAGCTGGGACTACAGGTGCGTGCCACCATGCCCGGCTAATTTTGTATTTTTTGTTAAAAAATGGGGATTTTGCCATGTTGTCCAGGCTGGTCCCAAACTCCTGTCCTGAAATGATCCACCTGCCTCAGCCTCCCAAAGTGCTGGGATTACAGGCGTGAGCCACAGTGCTTAGCCACTGTGCCACCTTGTGTCCTTTTGTGGACTGGCCTGTTCTGACCAACTTGGTGGCAAGAAGGTTCCTTGTGGAGAGGAGAGCACTGTTAGAAGAACGTCTGTGAAGCATTTGGGGTCTTGAAATCCAGCGGAAGGACAAAGAAATGAGACCTTTTTCACAGTGTTTACAATAGCAGAAAATCGCAAGAGACCTAAATATCCCACAAGAGGGGAAGGGCTGGTGAGGCCGTTTTGGCATCCCCACGAGGGGAAGTGATGCAGCCACTCACGCTGACGTGAGGAAGAAGATGGGAAATAGAGCAGAGGGTTTAGGATGGGGCTGGAGGGACCATCGTTCACTGTGTGTCGCTCACAGCGAGAAGCACTCTACCTGCACCGTCACATTGACTGCTCCATAAAATGGTGAGGTCACGGCAGTCACCAGCGCGATAGCTGGTGTTACTTGACCACTGACTGGGTGCCAGGTGTTGTCGAAGCACTTTAGTATCGCTGTTCCCACTTATAGTGGGGACCCTGAGCCTCACAGAGCTTACAGAACTGGCATGGAAAACCAGAACTGGAATGCAGCTATTTCCAGGAAAGTGGGATATGGTTGGGCAGGTTGTCCACTGCATAACTGCAGAGGACACCAGTCACACTGGAGTCTGTGGGAATGGCACTCCTGAAGTTGTGCAGTGCACAACCTGTGCAACCATATGCAGCATGCCTGGGTGTGTCTGATCACAATCCTAGGCTCTTAATCCATGCCCCATCCAAAACAGAAAATAATATTCATGCACACTGTAAATGGGTTCATGTGATAGCTAGATACATGTGGACATGCAACAAAAAGTATGCAAAGAATTAAACAGATATGCTGGTGTCGTGGGATTTATAGGAGATTTTTTTCCTTTCAAATGTCCTTAGGCCGGGCGAGGTGGCTCATGCCTGTAATCCCAGCACTTTGGGAGGCCAAGGTGGGCGGATCACTTGAGGTCAGGAGTTTGAGACCAGCCAGGCCAACATGGTGAAACCCCATCCGTACTAAAAATACAAAAAAATCAGTCAGGCCTGGTGACGGGCGCCTGTAATCCCAGCTACTCAGGAGGCTGAGGCAGGAGAATCGCTTGAACCTGGGAGGCGGAGGGTGCCGTGAGCCAAGATCGCACCACTGCACTCCAGCCTGGGCGACAGAGTGAAACTCCGTCTCAAAACTTTCTAGAACTCTCTGTAATGATGGAAATGTTTCCTATCTGTGCTGTCCAATGTGGCGGCCGCTGGCCACGTGTGGATATTAAGCCCTTGAAATGTGGCCTGTTCAACTGAGGAATGGAATTTGTATTTTTATTTCATTTTAATCCATGAGAGTTTCATTGAGATGGCCACATGCAGCTCGTTGCTTCCATGTTGGATGGTACACAGCTAGAGTGTGGATTGGTGTCTTTCATTCTGAGCCATGTCATTCCCAGATGTCTGCTCTGAAGCTTGTGGTTCCTAAACTTGCGGGTAAGGGAGTGTCTACTGCAGATTCCCAGCTGGACCCTTGGGATGGGAATGTCTGTCTTTAACAAATTTCCCGGGGAATTCCCAGGCAAATTGTCAGTGGACTCCCCTTTAAGAAATGCGGAAGATCTGGCGCCAACGTCTCCACGTGGCAAAGTGTGGCAAGGGGGGGCAGGTCAGCTCCCAGAGCTGTGGCTAAAGGCGCCGGAACAGCTGCCCGCAGAGGTTAGCAAGGTGGTCTTCAGGAAGAGAGTCCTGTATGCTGCCCCTCAGAGTGTAAGCACAGCATATCGTGGGGACCACAGGGAGATGGACTAGGACCCACTGTAATGGAGAATTTTCTAGAGTCAGGGTTGGCTGTTGTGCAGCGATGTGATTGGAAACATGTTGGAGATGTCGAAGATGGCCCTGTGCCCAGACTCTGAGCATGCACCCCACTGGTGAGGCTGTCCTGGGCGGGGCACAGCAGCTGGTGGGTACCCGGTGGAGGCTGAGACAGCAGGGGAGCCAGGTGGGTGGGTGTGGGCCGAGCATTCCGACTTGTTCATGTAGAGAGGGGTGGCCAATGAAGCCACAGAAGTCAGAACGGTCTCTGTGCCTGGCCACCAGCGCTCGCCCTGGCTTCCCTGCAGGTCCTGGCTGCAGACTTTGAGCGGCCCAGGAGCTCTTAAATGGGGAAGAGCTCATCTCCCACACGGGACCCTTCGCAGCAACTTCGCCTGGTCTGGAAATGGTTAACTTTTCCAAGGGCAGCTTTCATCCAGATACCAGCCACTTTGGGGACAGACAGTCTGGACATCAATCGCCCCGATCACTGGCAGTGTGACCTGGGTTCGGTACTTTACCTCTCTGAATCTCATTGCCCCTGACTTTGAACAGGGCTTAATAACAGTGCCCTCCGCATTGTAGGAGGCAGGGCTCCATAACCCGGTGCCAGGCGCATAATAAAGTGGGGTAAATGGAAACCAAAAAAGAAAAAAAATTAAGGGTGTGCAAGAAGAAGCCCTTCTCGCCTCACCACAGTCCCACGCTGCGGTGAGGGGCGCGGCAGAAACACTCGGGACGCCCTTGGAGCTTCGCCGAGCGAGGCTCAGACTCACATTTTCCAGCACTGCCCGGAACTCACAAATGGGTCATAGAAACCTCCAGCGATGTTTAAAGTTGAGCCTCTCTGGGAGTGCAGCACTGCCCAGAGCCAGGGTCACGGCAGGTCCCGTCAGCCTCTCAGGCACTGCCCTTGTCTGGGCTGCTCGCCATGAAGGGCTGGCCAGGGGACCCCAAGATGGGGCAGAAGGGCAGGTTCTTCCAGGGCGCTTTAGGGTGGGGTCTGTGGACAGGATTCAAAGTGTGTGAACCACCTCACCCCACAACATTGCATGCAAACTTGAATGCACGCCTGTGTTTTTCTAGGCAAGGGTTTGTAGAGTTCCTCCGAGTTCTCGAGGGGGGTTCATGATTAAAATGGGGAAGAACCACCAGGCCCAGCCTAGCCTTCATTTGGGACAAATAACAGTGGGGTTAGCTGTCATTTCTGGAGCACCACGTTGGGCATGTCCTTGGGAGAGCCCTGGGCCGTGCCATCCTCGCCGCGCCACCTGAGAGGGAGGGAGAGATACCGTTTTGTCCTAATACAGATGGTGAAACCAAGAACGCAAGAGGAGACACCTCTTGTCTGAGGACACACGGGGCAATTTTTCTCATTCTCAGATGCTCAGGAGAGGCAGGAGTTTGCTGTCTGGGCGGGCTGCTGGTAGTCCCTGTAACCCAATTGCTGGGTGGGGAATATTCTCTCCTGCATCCTCCCAGGAAACCTGGGAACAGAGATGGGAGCAGGAAGGAAGGGCATGTGCAGGCATCACATCTCAGCGGTCACATCTTGGGGACCTACTGCCTTGCTGTGAGCGCATGGCCGAGTCACTGCTCCTCCAGGCCTCAGTTTTCCTATCAGCAAAATGAGGGGCCTTGACAGATGATCTCTAAGATCCCTTCAGACCCTGAGTCCTTGAGAGGACAAGAATGACAAGTTTGAGACCGCAGAGCTGTTTGCAGGTTTGTTGCAAACCCAAGCCACATGAAATCGGAAGGTCTTTGTGTCCGGGCCTCAGCCCTCACCCCAGGTTCCCAGCTGGCTCCAGGCTTTGGGAGGCCCAGGAGCTCTTAAATGAGAGAGAAAAACCCACCTTGGGCCCTGAGCAGAAAACTTCATCGTGGTCTGGAAACAGTTAACGAGGGCAGCTTTCCTCCCAATACCAGCCCCTTATTAAAATGTAGGCTTTACAATAAACCTGGCATTTGGCCATCAACCTTAGATTAAAACCAGACAGAACAGACACGAACCCCTCTCTTAGACCGAATCGCGAGCAGAGGGCTGCTCCCCTTCCTTCTGGGTGACTCCATGCCTCCCACCCACCCCGTACCCCATTCCAGCAGGTGCCCCCACTCTCTGGAGCTTGGTTTGGGGTCTCAGGAGTAGAGGAGAGACTGAGCTGGACTTAGGACCCCTGGCTCCTAGTGCAGAGGGAGGTAGTCAGGCACCAAAACTCAGGGACTGAGGGATATGAGGGGAGGCTCCTGTTAGGGCCACGCTGGGGAGCCAGGGCCTCAGAGCCGCTTGGCTGCATCTGACCCTCTGATTGCCTGTGAACAGGAGGCAAATGGAGTACACTGGCTCGATCCTGGCCCACGGCAACCTCCGTCTCCCGGGTTCAAGCGATTCTCCTGCCTCAGCTTCCCAAGTATGGGATTACAGGCAGGTGCCACCACACCTGGCTATTTTTTGTATTTTTAGTAGAGACAGGGTTTCACCATGTTGGCCAGGCTGGTCTTGAACTCCTGACCTCAGGTGATCTGCCCGCTTCGGCTTCCCAAAGTGCTGAGATTACAAGCGCAAGCCACTGTGCCTGGCCCTGAAGACCCCTTTTCTCAAGGCTCCTGGGCTCAGAAGAACTTTTGGCCTCACCTGCCCCCAACTCTGGCTCCCCCCTACCGTGAGCCTGCTGTTGTGACAGAGCCACATGGGGACATTCTGTGCGAGAGCCGCTCCTGGCTGGGCGCGGTGGCTCATGCCTGTAATCCCAGCACTTTGGGAGGCTGAGGCAGGTGGATCACCTGAGGTCAGGAGTTCAAGAGCCACTCCTGCTGGCTCTGTCACTGAGGGTTCCCCAGAGACCCTCGCCCAGAGGTCCCTGGCACCCCAGCCTAATTCACTCCTCACCCCCTGTCACTCCACTACCTGTGGCACCCCCAGAGACTCAGGAGATATCCTGTTTGCCATTCTCTCCAATCTCAATGCTTCTCTCAAACCCCCCTCCTTTTTCTGTGTGTTCTTAGGAATGATTGTATTTCACGTATTTCACATACTGTACAATCACCCATTTAAAGTGCACAGTCCAGGGCCGGATGCGGTAGCTTACATCTGTAATCCCAGCACTTTGGGAGGCCAAGGCGGGCAGATCATTTGAGGTCAGGAGTTCAAGACCAGCCTGGCCAACATGGTAAAACCCCGTCTCTACTAAAAATACAAAAATTAGCCAGGTGTGGTGGCATGTGCCTGTAATCCCAGCTACTTGGGAGGCTGAGGCAGGAGAATCTCTTGAACCTGGGAGGTGGAGGTTGCAGTGAGCTGAGATCGCGCCACTGCACTCCAGCCTAGGCAACAGAGCGAAACTCCATCTAAAAAAAAGAAAAATTAACTGAGCATGGTGGCACATGCCTGTAGTTCCAGCTACTGGGGAGGCTGACGTGGTAGGATCACTTGAGTTTAGGAGTTCAAGGCTGCAGTGAGCCATGATTGCAACACTGCACTCCAACCTGATGCAGAGCAAGACCGTCTCAGAAAGTAAAATTTAATTAAAAAGATAAAATGTGCAGTTCAGTGATTTTGTAGTATATTCAGTTGTACAACCATCATCACAATCGATATTAAAACATTTCACACCCCCACAAGAAGCCCTGCACTCTTTAGCTGTTGCTCTCCAGCATCCTCGCTGCCGTCCCCTCAGCTCCAGCAACTGCCAGTCTGCTTCCCATCTCTATGGATTTGCCTATTCTGGACATTTCATATAGAAGAAATCATGCACTAGGGCTTGGCGCAGTGGCTCAAGCCTATAATCCCAGCACTTTGGGAGGCGCAGGTGGGTGGATTACTTGAGGTCAAGAGTTGGAGATTAGCCTGGCCAACATGGGGAAACCCCATCTCTACTAAAAATACAAAAATTAACCAGGCATGGTGGCGGGCACCTGTAATCTCAGCTAATTGGGAGGCTGAGGCAGAAGAATGGCTTGAACCCAGGAGGCAGAGGTTGCAGTGAGCTGAGATGGCACCACTGCACTCCAGCCTGGCGACATAGTGAGTGAGATTCTGTCTCAAATAACTAACTAAATAAATAAAAGAAATCATGCACCATATATTCCCTTCTGGCTGGCTTCTTTGATTTAGCATCATGTTTTCAAGGTTAATCCACAGTTACCATCTCTTAAGTGTTTCATTTACTTTTATTGCTGAATACTATTTTTATTTTTAATGCTGAATACTATTCCATTGTATGAATGGACCGCATTTTATTTATTCATTCACCAGTTGAGGGACATGTGGGTTGCTTTCACTTTTTGGCTATAATAAATAATACTGCTATGGCCGGGCGCGGTGGCTCATGCATGTAATCCCAGTACTTTGGGAGGCCAAGGCTGGTGGGTCACCTGAGGTCAGAAGTTCAAGACCAGCCTGGCCAACATGACAAAACCCTGTCTCTACTAAAAATACAAAAATTAACCTGGTATGGTGGTCTGCGCCTGTAGTCCCA